TTAATAAAGCACTATTTTAGTTTTTGTTCAGTATCAGTTTTAAAATAATCGGTTAATTAATCGGTATCGGCCAGTGTGGTCCAACCTACACTCTTAAAAATAAAGGCGCTTCACGATGCCATAGAAGAACCTTTTTGTCTAAATGGTTCCATAAAGAACCTTTAACACCTGAAGAACCTTTCTGTTTCACAAAAGCTTCTTTGTGGCGAAAGAAGGTTCTTCAGATTATAAAAAGGTAAGAAAGAGATGGTTCTTTAAAGAACCTTTGACTGAATGCTTCTTTGTGGAACCAAAAATGGTTCTTCTATGGCATCGCTTGAAGAACCTTTTGAAGCACCTTTATTTTTAAGAGTGTAGCTATCGGTATCGGCAAAATCCACTATCGGTCGACCTCTAGTCTCTACACCCCATACACAGTGAGCCGCAGCAGGGGTGCCGTATTTACCTCTCCGTGGGCTTTAATCTGACTCTCTGCATAATTTCAGGAGTCTGAAGCCTCTGAGTCTCAGAATTGAGCTCTAATGATATGTTTGTCATGATGCTGGATCTAAAAAGCCTGTTGTTTCCGTCAGAAGAGAAGTGAATTGTGGTGTCCACAATCTCCACTGGAGATTGAATATTTACTGTTTCCATTATGGAGCGATCAGAGGAGGAGAGATTTAGTGCTCACTTAATGGTCTGATTGAGCTTTCTTTCTCTCCTGGTGCTTTAGGATCCTATGCAATCGGTTGTATTTTTTCCACAAATTCAGTGTTTTCAGTTTAAATTTTTCTGCATTCTGTTTTTAATGGATTAAATCATTTGTAATAATTTTTAAAGGATGGCTAATCAATTGAACTTTTTTACAATTTAATAATTTATTAAAAATGTAGCAGTAATATGATTCCCCCCCCCCCTAAAATTCACTGTTTTAATTTTTCTAGATTCCATTTCTAATGGTTTAATTAAGTTTTAAAACAAAAAGGAATGCTTAATCAATTGAATTCATACATTTTTTACAATTTATTAATTAAACAATAATTTTACAATAATAGGGCCCTACAAAATGTGTTTTATTTTTATCTTTTAATATTCCTGGATTAAAATTTAAATTTTTATTAAATTGTAATAATCAAAAAAGAATGTCTAATCAATTGAATTCATACGATTTTAACAGTTTAAAAATGTATTAAAAAATGTACAATAATACGGCCCCTATAAAATTCTTTGTTGTCTGTTTTAATTTCTGTATTTTGCGTTTTTTGATTTAATACAAATTTATTATCAAGTACAGTGGCAATCAAATGAGTGAATAAAACTTCAACAATTTATTTGATCTTTCAAAATGTAATTAAAATTAGAATTTTTTTTTGGTGCTGCACAATATAGAGGTTTACTGTTAAATTAAAGCATTGGCAAAAGTGTGTGATATTCCTTAAAAGATAATGTTTTAATTAACACTGTTATTATTGTTGTTGTTATGAGATCATGAAAAGAGCCCTACTTTTGATTTATTCTTCCAAACTAAATTATAAATTAAACTTAACTTTTATTTTGCAGACTTAATGTTTAAATCGCAGTCTTTTGCAACTTTATATTCACAGACACAAGTCCATAACGCAATTTAATTAATTGCACAGCCCTACTTTTACTCCAAATTTTACCAAATTCTGTGACCTTCTGCATTATACAGTAAATTCCATATGCAGCTGTTTAGTATATTTTTAATTGATCATATGTCAATAATCTTCTAATTAGGCAGTCTGATCCAATAATGAGTCGAGAAAGACATCTTCTGCCATCTTACTATTGTTCAGTCTGTCTTTTTTACCTCTTTCCATCCATTCACCTCTTTTTTTTGCCTCTTTCCATCTTTCCATCATCCATCCCTTTTTACCTCTTTACTTCATCCATTCACCTTTTTTTTTGCCTCTTTTCATCCATCCATCCATCCATCCGTTCACCTCTCTTTTTGCCTCTTTTTTTTTTATCCATCCATCCATTCACCTCTTTTTTGCATCCATGCATCCATGCATTCATCCCTTTTTTTGCCTCTTTACATCATCCATTCACCTGCTTCTTAGTTCAAACACACCTTTGTAAAATCAAAGAAAGGTATTCCTATGAATTAATTAGAGAACAGTCCATTTCTCTGGGCATTATGTGTCTTTCCTATGAGGAAAATGAGTGAGTTTCTCTGCCCGCATTCCTTTGGGCAATAAAACCAGTGATATCAGCATTGCTTGCCATGGAACCAGAGGCCTGTTCTGCCTTTCTGAGGTGTTGGATGCATTTCGGGGAAAGGGTCCATAGACCCTCGTAATTGGCCCTTTGTTTAGGTGAGGGGGTGTTAGATATTATTTGTTAAATATAACAAAGAGTTGTGTTTCTGATTGGTCCAAATGCTACATAAATCATTCACCTTTTTTTTTTTTTTTTGCCTCTTTCCATCATTCATTCACTTCTTTTTTTTGCCTCTTTTCATCCATCCATCCATCATCCATCCATTCACCTATTTGTTTGCCTCTTTTCATCCATCCATCCATCCATTCACCTCTTTTTTTGCCTCTTTCCATCCATTCATCCACCCTTTTTTCCTCTTTTCATCCATGCATTCATCCCTTTTTTGCCTCTTTACATCATCCATTCACCTCTTTTTTGACTCTTTCCATCCATGCATCCATCTCTGTTTTCCCCTCTATCCATCTATTCATCCATGTCTTTTGCCTCTTTCCACCCATTCGTCCCTTTCACTCTCTCTGTTTCTCTCTCTCTCTCTCTCTCTCTCACACATACATACACACATACACACACACACTCTCACACACACTCACTCTCTCTTCGTTTCCCATCTGCCAGCTTCTAGTCTGCATTAATCCTTTTGAATGTGGATTACAGTTGCGGGATCAGTCTAGTAACAGATATAGTCTTTCCAGCTCTGCCAGGTCAAAGGTCACCCATATTTAAATTCCTCAAAATGACTCGTCAGGTGATAAACGAGGGCTGTTGAATTAATAATTAGCCACTCGAGCACTAAACATTTACATTTCTCCTTTCAGCAGCGTCAGCTGATTCTCCGTCCAGAGCCGATTGTTTAAAATAACTCTGAATCCGGCGGTTCGACCACCATAGAAGGAAACCAGGGCAAAATCCCTTTCCTGAAGCGGAAAGCCGTCCCTGGCACTGGAGTCGCTTAATCCAATCGCTCGTGATCGGGATAAGACTCAATCAAGCTGTGCAACAGTTTATTAATCCATGAGCAGTGAAAGGAGGGGTGATTCAGGCTAATCAATAAAGCCGTGAATGAAGGATTGTTTACAAAGTTCCCCGTCTCTCTCTGCTATCGATTGCTTTCTGTGCTAATTAAATAGCTTTTGAGAGCCGCAGACTAATGGCTGTCAGAGACGCTGACTGTAAGAAGTTGTAGAGGTTATAAACAGACCGGAGTGACTCACGGTTGATATGACGGGGCAACGGACAGAAGTTTTGAGCAGAGAGAAAGAACGAGAGGAAAAACTGATGACAGTAAGTTAGTGTGTGTGTGAGAGAGAGAGACAGTCGTAGTGGATGGAAATTAGACCCACGGAAAATGTCTATGGGAAAATATAAATATCATATCTAATGAATCTTTTGCCAGAAATGAAGGAATGGGATTTTGTAAGGCATTTTTCTTGATACAGTTATAAAGAAGACTCTTCTGCTCACCAAGGCTGCATTCGTTTGATCAAAAATACACTAAAAACTGAAAAAAATTGAAATATTATTATAATTTAAAATAGCTGTTTTCTATGTGAATATATGATTAACCTGGAATTTATTTCTGTGATGCGCAGCTGTATTTCCAGCATCATTCCTCCAGTCTTCAGTGTCACGTGATCTTCAGAAATCAGTATAATATGCTGATTTGCTGCTCAAGAAACATTTATTATTATTATCAATGTTGAAAACAGTCGTGCTGCCCAATATTTTTTGTGGAAACCGTGATGCATCTTATTTTTCAGGATTCACAGATGAACAGAAAGTTCAAAAGAGCAGCATTTGTTTGAAATAGAAACATTTAGTAACACTATAAATGTCTTTACTGTCACCTTTGATCAATTTAATGCGTCCTTGCTTAATAAACGTATTCATTTTTCTACTGACCCCAAACGATTGAACAGTAGTGTGTTTTGGAGTCTCTTGTTTATTGTGGTCTTTCCAGTATTTCCAGTGAGATTGAATCTCTAGCAACACACCATAAGAAATATGAATTTTAGTCTGATTCAGAAAATAAATGACTCATTTGAGTTTGATTCTTTTAACGAGTCATTCAAAAGCACTCCCAGACTGGAGTTTCTGGTTTGAATCAGTCTGCTGAATCTTTAAGCAATATCCATTTAGATATTAAGCGAGCTTTGCTACTAAAGGTTTGTGAATGTAATTAATTACCTTCTGGTCTTAAACTGACCCTTGCTGTTTGCATAAAAAATGATGGCCAACAGTTGAAAAAACGGTTTATTTAGTTAGTTATTTATTTATTTAAATTTTTTATTGTAATTATTATTTTTAAATAATTTATTTTATTTTATTTTATATATTAATCATTTTTATTTTTGTAATTTGTATTATTATTATTTTTTTTAATCATTTTTATTTGAATTATTTAATTTATTTATCTCTTTAATTGCAATGTTTGTAACTGTTAAAATCCCCCCCCCCCAAAAAAAAAAAAAAAAATATATATATATATATATAATGTGTGTATATATATAAATAAAAACGTATCAAATTTGTGAGTACCATTTTTTTTCTTATATCATATTTCCATAAGTTGTATATCATGATATACATATCACTGTTGACTAAAATTTCAAGAACATTGAGATATAAATTTTAAGGAACAAATGCGATATAAAATTCACTACTCAGATTTGATCTACTGTAAATCTGACATAACTACTTGGGGTTCGTCTGTGGTCAAATAAACAGGTCTCTGGTATCCTCGTTTAGTTAACTAGTTAAAGTCAGTGTCTTTTTTAGAAGCAGGTTAACCGATTGAATTTACGGGGATCCCTGAAGTAAAAACAGCATCTCTGTATTTAATTTTGGCCTTACGCTACGTTTGTTAATCTGATTTTCCTCACCACATGCCAGAATCTCTCACATCCTCAAAGGCTAAGCCACTGTTTTCACTCTCTCTGACTCTGTGCGGCTGTTTCTGCTACTGTGCCTTTAAAATATGTTAATGAGCTCTGTTATGATTGGCTAACGTTGTGTAGGTCACACTGTTGTTGGTCAGAATGTTTCTGAATTCTAAATGTGTTAATTATATAAATGTGGGCGGTCATATGTTAATGAGCTCATGGTTGGTGGCTGTTTACGCAGTTTAGTTTTGATAACTAATGTTCATAGTGCATAGTCAGTGTTGTTTTAGTATTATTTATGTACTATTATAGTATTTATTAATGGTGTGGTTTTTTTTGTATATTTTCGTAATTTTGTAGTGTGCAAAATATTTTTTTTAATTTGTTTATATTTATTTATATACTTTTATAGTATGTAATAATATTTTGAGTTAGCTTTTTATTTTTATATTTTCAGTTTTCATTTAAATTTTTCAATTTTAATAATTTTGTAGTATGCAAAATATATTTTTTAATTTATTTATATATTTATTTATATGCTATCATAATATTTATTGATATTTTGAGTTGGCTTTTATTTTCAAATTTTCCATTTTAATTTTTTTTATTGTATTAATCTTGTGATGTGCAAAGTTTAGTTTTTTAAATTATGTAATTTTTTATTTATGTACTATTGTAGTATTTATATAATGTGTTACTTTTTATTAATATTATTTTATGTTTATGTTTATATTTTATTTATCATTTTTTTTTTTTTTATTTAATTATTAATTTTGTAATGTGCAAAAAACATTTTTTTTAATTGTTAATTATTCATTTAGTTATGTACTTTTGTAGTATTTATTAATATTTTGAGTCAAAGTTTATTTTTATATTTCCAGCTTTCATTTGAACTTTTTTGATTTTGCAATTCATTTTGTAATGTGCAGTGCATTTGTTTTTCATTTATTTATGTACTGTTATAATATTTATTCATATTTTGTTTTTTTCAGTTTTCATTTTAATGAAGTTTTAGATTTAGTAATTTTAGTACTTCAACCATAACTGATTTATTTCTATTAGTTGCCCAGGCTTTATTTCAGCTATAGAATATTGTTACAATAGTTAGTTTGAAAACACGTCTACATACTGTAGTACTTCAAGTGCGGTTCTTTTATTACGAAAAGCAATAAAAGTCCAGTTTCTGACTGAAAGAGCCCTTGGAGAGGGTTTAATGGACATGTAGTTTTTGATGTTTCAGGCTGAGACCTCCTGGCAGCAGATGAGGTTAGATGTTGGCCATGGATGACGGCGTGGTGGAGGAGTGGCTGTCTGAGTTTAAGGTGCGTCGTCTCTTTCGTGATCAGCTTCATGAGTCTGAGGTCCGGCTCGTGTGCTGAACGTGTTTTCTGCTGTGTTTCAGACTCTTCCAGAGACGGCCGTCTCCAGCTACGCTGCCTCTCTGAAGGACAAGGGCTCCCTGGTTCCTGCGCTCTATAAAGTTATACGGGAGAATTACAGCGACGTAAGATGAGCTCTGTTCCTAACTGTACTCAGACTGTGATCAGCTTCATGAGTCTGAGGTCCGGCTCGTGTGCTGAACGTGTTTTCTGCTGTGTTTCAGACTCTTCCAGAGACGGCCGTCTCCAGCTACGCTGCCTCTCTGAAGGACAAGGGCTCCCTGGTTCCTGCGCTCTATAAAGTTATGCGGGAGAATTACAGCGACGTAAGATGAGCTCTGTTCCTAACTGTACTCAGACTCTATTTCTCTCTCATTAACCCTTAAAGACCTAGAACATTTTTGGGGCACCTGACACGCCTGCACTTTTCTTGGTTTTTTAAGAGCTATTCTAGCGGTCAGCATCAAGTGTCATACATCATTATAAACAGGAGAACTTGAAGTTTCAGTCTAGCTAGAAAGTCCCAATTTTCCCTTTGTTTCCTCTAAGAATGAATGAATTGTAAGAAAAACGCAAGCAACAGTTGGGTGTTTTTTACTGTGTACTCAAACAGGAACTCCTGAAGTTTGGATTTTTTTCTTTAGAAGGTTGTATCTGGGTGTTTTACACTTCCAAATCACATTTTGTCTACATATAACATTCCCCAAGCAAGTTATAGCCATTTATTACAATATTATTATAGGCGCTTTTCAGTGAAAAACAGGTCTATTTAGTTTACTAACAATATAGATGTGTCCAAAAAACGTTTAGGGATAAAGAAAATGGAAAAAGCGTTATATAATAACAAAACACTGTAAAAAAAAAAGTGACTTTTTTTTAGATAAATATATTTTCAATCTGAGTTTGAACAACAGCAAACAAACCGTGCAGCTATTTAGTGAAAACAATTTTTGTCTTCTGCATTAAAAATACAAACAGTGCAAATGATTCACGAACCACACACAGCATGAGTGAGAAATATACAGAGTGCAACAGAAAAAATAGTGAAAATGATCTTTATGAACTTTATAAGAATTATTTGCATGATATAAATGATCGATCCGCAGGCTGTACTATGCGTCGGAATCGATTTTACCCGGACTGCGTCTAGCGCCGCGAAGACATGAATTCCAGTGCTTTATCTGATATGTATTACTGTTTCATCCTTGTTTTTGGTTTGTTTTATGTCAAGGTGTGTTTTTCTGGCATGCAAATGTGTTATGTTGTGTTTGTTTTCATGCACGCACAACAGACTTTACTTTCACTTTGCGTTTGTTCAGATTTCCAATGATAAATCCTAAATGGTGGTTCAAAAGACCAAAACCTATGGTTATTGGTTGAATATGGGACAGTTTGGACCAATCTGGGCACGGGGGCGGGACTAAGCATCAACAAACGTTCCTGTTTGGCTGAGAGGAACGAAATGCATTGGTTTCTTCTGACGAATCAATATTGTCAAAATGTGATGACGTAATCACGTACACTACGGAGCCTCTGAATATCCAAATAAGATGAATGAGATATCTCCGCTTCACAACACTTTTTAAAGCATTCACATAGGATTAGCGGTTCAAACGTTATTAAACATTTAAGAACAATAGTTATTTTTAGCCGCAGGCGGCTGTCTCGGTCTTTGAGGGTAAAGTTGTGTTTTCACTAAAGTCCACTTTAAGTCATAAGTTCCCACTCTGAGAAAAACAGCAGTTACAGAAGTAAAACACATTGAGATCTATGCGGTTATTATAGTTAACTAAAATTAAAAACTGAAAAAAAATGATATTTTGGGGAAAAAAAAATATATATATTTTATTTCAGCTAGTTGCCAAGGTAACATATGTTCTATTCATTTAATTCAACTTGATATACTAAAATAACAAACTAAATATGAAATAAAATTTAATAAAAGCTATATAGACATGTTTAAAAAAAAAAAAAAAGCAAATGCACACAATTACTAAAATGTTAACAAAAATTGTAATGAACTTTTCTTTTTAAATTTAGTCATTTTTGTAATGTGCAAAATATTTGTTTGTTTTAAAATTAATTTCTTTATTCATGTACTATAATTGTATTTATTAATATTTTGAGTTAACTTTAAATATTGCATTTTCAGTTTTCATTTGCATTTTTAATTTGAGTAATTTTGTAATGAATAAAAAATATATAATTAAATAAAACCTAATTCAACCCCTTAATGAAAACTATAATAGTATCTTAATGATACTAAAATAACACTGCCAGAGCTGAAGGATTTGAGGAAAAAAATCTAATCAAGAAAAAGTTAATTTTTTCCCCTGATAAATTATAATTTTTTATGCATCACTCCCCAGAATAAAATGCGATTGTAAAACGTAGTCAGCGTAGTTATCAATACACAATCAATGCACATGACGTGTTAATAAACACTAGAAATTGCTGCAAATATAGAGAAACTACAACAAACGTTTTACTGTAATCAAGCACATATTTCAGATTCACAGATGTACTGAGAAAGTCTGAAGCTCTTACATTAGAGACGGGCTTCATGTCGTTTATTTTTACTGGAGTACTCGACAAATAGCACTCTAATGCTGTAATTAACATCAACTGAGTACTCTAGAGTTTCCATCTGCTCCGTATTTACTTTTATGTTTTGTTCAATGTGAGCATGCAATGTCCATAAGAAATTGGGAAAAATAAATATATTACTATATATATATATATATATATATATACTGTATATATTACTTGTATTGTATGGTAGCATGCTCTTCTCAAAGTAATAATAATAATACAATTGTATTTCCATGTTTTAATTTTAACAGAAAGTCTCTGTAGCAATTTGTTTGCCAAAAATAAAATAAATTGTTTAAAGGTTAATTCATTTAATGTTTTATGCCTAGTGGATTACATTAAGAATGAAAACAGAAAACACAGTTTTGGAAAAAATAAAATGGAATTTGCGGGGGGGGAAAATAGGGTTCTGAAAATGTTAATCTTTTGGTAAATTGTTGTTAAATTGTATAAGTTTCATGATTCCAATTAATTAGTCATGTGTTTTGGTTAATAAAATTTATTTAACTATAAAAAAGGAGTCCAGAAAAACTTTAACGGAAAAAAATGTAATACAGAAAAATGTAAACAAAAAAATTGGAATTTGGAAAAAAATAAAAGGTACCGTTAAAATGTTTTACAAATTATAATGTTGCTGTTTTTGAGATGCAAGCGACGCAGAACACATCTCAAGACCTGTTTTCTATTCTGTTGAACTTTTTTAAGCTGTTTTTGACAGAAAAAGTGTCCTGAAATCGACTCCGAACGGTCTGACAAATCCAGCTGCATGCACCGCTGGGAAATCCCAATGTAACAAATCACGAATTGACGAACGAGTTATTGTTTTTATGTAGAGCCTGGTTTCTCCCAAGGTGTTTACTATTATCATTTTGCATTATTGACACTATTTTCCTAATTAATGCTGTACAGTTGCTTTGACACAATCTGTATTGTTAAAAAGCGCTATATAAATAAAGGTGACTTGACTTAAAATTGTATTGTGCTTAAGTCAGGTTTGTGTTTAGTGTAGTAAAGTGCTGCACTGTTTGTAACGGTGCTGTGCTTCTGTCTCTCAGCTGCTGGAGCCGGTGTGTCATCAGTTGTTTGAGTTTTACCGCAGCGGCGAGCCGCGTTTACAGCGCTTTACTCTGCAGTTCCTGCCGGAGCTGGTGTGGAGTTACCTGTCAGTGACGGCGGCGAGAGATCCTCACTGCAGCGGCTGCATCGAGGCGCTTCTGCTCGGCATCTACAACCTGGTGAGAGCCCTGCTGAACAACACACGCTTCACACGCTAGACACTGAAATCAGATCAGATATAGACCGATCGGAGAAACCACACCATTGGCTTCTCTAGAGCTGCTTTGAATTTGTTCCATTACTGATCAACTTTGCAACGTCAACACTATTAATGGAATCACTTGAATCGGCATTGAACTGAAGTCAGAAAGAGCTGTATGGCCAAGTATGTTTGCACATACAAGGTTTTTGTTTTCGTGTCACAAGCTTCCAGAACACAGAGACAACAACAACACACTTAATAAAAATAAGATGAGAATAAAATACACATGCATAAATATAAATAAACCACAATAAAAAGAATAAATTGCATGTGGGTCAAAGACGAAAAAGGGTTTAAGCATAAAAACAATAAGTGTAATACTGCTTTAAATTTTTGTTGTTTTTCCCCCCCAAAAATAAAAAGTTTTCTGTTTAATTTAATTGCAATTCTGTTTTTGTTTTTCCGAGCAAAAAATAAATATCATACATTTTCCCCTGATTTACAGAAGAGAGCCACTAAAATGTCATTCAGTGTAACAATCTCGTCAGGCATATTTACAACTAAAATCTATTTATGACATATTAAAAGACTAATTACTTTCACCCCAAATACTAATTAGTTGTAATTTTACATTTTTACAATGTGCCACTATCCTAGGTTTTGCCCATTTGTCAGCAAGAATTTTTTACAAATTTAAAACAATAAAATTTAATACGCTCCTTTATTCTTTTATATATTTTAATATGTACACGTCAGAATAAGCATGCTGTTTGAATTTTTACATAAATATTGTGTTACACTGAATGACAATGTAACATTATTTAAACCAAATTTTCACATTTTATCCTCCAAAAACTTATTTGAAACCTTAAAATTAGACACTTTACTTACATTTAATGTGCTTTCTATGGACATATAATCACTTTTGTACATTTCATTTGATGCGGACATCTTAACGTCTTTGACCCATGTACAGGTGTGCTATAGATAGATAGAATAGAATAAAATAAAATAAAAATAAGTTGTAGGGATGTACTAGAATAATGACACTGTTGTCTTATTAGGGTTGAATTGAGTTGGTTTCATTTCTAATCAACTTTGCAGCATTGACACTGTCATTGAATCAAACTAAAACACTAAGTTGAATCACCATTGAGCTAAATTCAGCTGAATATTATCTTCGGTAGAGTTGCTTTATAGTTGTATTGAATTTGTTTCATAACTTTGCTAGATTAATGTACATAAATTACTATACATAACTGTTGAAAATCTGCTTTATTTTTTTACCAAATTATGTGTTTTTTGTTTGAATATTTCATTTGAATGGTTTAAATTTTAATGATCAATGCATGTCTAATTAATTGAATTCATAAAAACAACTTAATTTATTACTTTGCTACTTTTTTGCAATAATAAGGCTCTATGAATTATTTATTTATTTGTTTGTTCGTTTTTCCCCCAGAAATTGTGTGCTGTGTATTTAAATATTTCTGGTAATCAAATGAAGGCATAAAATATTAGTTTAATTGATCTTTTAATCAAATGAAGTGTTAGTAGTATTATTACATTAATATGTACGCTCTACTGTACAGTAGTAATTTGTTACTGTCACAATTTCTTCACGTGAAACTTTTATTTCGACGGGTTGTTATTAAGGACTTTTGAGTTTCTGGGTGTATATGATGTGATGATTCATTTATTTTATTTTGGTCTTCAATTTTTAATCAGCAAATGAGTGCACACAAATGTGACTCAGAAAAATACACTGGTCCCAGATACCCTTAACCCTTAAAAATCAGGTCAAAAACTGGTGAAAATGTGTGTCAGAAAGCAGCTTCCTCTGGCTCTTCCTGTGAACTTTAGCCGTGGATTTTGCCTTGAGCAGGAAGTCATGTTTTTCAGCCAGCTGTGAGAAGGGAAGTCCGGCGCTCAGCGACGTCGGTGGTCTTTCATGGGTTTTACGCTCCGTGAAGTCGCCCTAAATAAGAGAGTAGTTCATCTGTCAATCACGCAATCGGCTCTGAAGCTGCAGACGGCCGGTGGGCGCCCTGTTTGTACAGAGCGAAACACTGAAGTCTCCTGAATCATGTAATCCAGATCAGCTCTGCACTTTCAGCATGACTGTGGTGAAATGCGTTTCGACATCTCGTCACAAACTCGTGACACTTTCACCATCAGTGCTGTGTAATGAAGCGCTGAACTTTATACTAGCTTAACTGCATTTCTGAGTAGCGTGACAGTAGCTCCGTTGTTTTTAAAGCAGCTTTTCCAGTTACAAGCTACTTTTTCCATGTGAGCGAATGCTTCATCCTGTTTTTTTTTTGTCATATTATACACAAGCACAGCTTCAGAATCAGAATGAGCTTTATTGCCAGGTATGTTTACACATACGAGGAATTTGTTTTGGTGACAGAAGCTCCACAGTGCGACAGAATGACAGTGACTAGACAAGACACAGATAATAAAAAGAATAATATACAAAATAGACAATGTGCAAAATAGCAAAAGCACAATATACAAAATAGACAATTTAGTATGTACAGGTATGTTAGGTGCAAATTTGAAATGTAAACAAGTATGTGTGTTAAATAAATAAATGTATGATAGTGTTGTGTGTTCCACATTTATTGTCAAGTGTTCATGAGATGGATTGCCTGAGGGAAGAAACTGTTCCTGTGTCTGGCCGTTCTGGTGCTCAGAGCTCTGTAGCGTCGACCAGATGGCAACAGTTCAAAGAGGGAGTGTGCTGGATGTGAGGGGTCCAGAGTGATTCTGCCAGCCCTTTTGCTCACTCTGGATGAGTACAGTTCTTGGAGAGAAGGGAGGGTTGTACCAGGGATTCGCTCAGCAGTCCGGACTATCCTCTGTAGTCTTCTGAGCTCAGATTTGGTAGCTGAGCTGAACCAGACAGTTATTGAAGTGCAGAGGATGGATTCAATGATGGCGGAGTAGAACTGTTTCAGCAGCTCCTGTGGCAGGGTGAAATTGCTCCGCA